TATATATGTAAATGTCTGTATATATATATACATAAGTCTGTGAAAGACAAGGAGAGGGAAATAGAGAGAAGAAGAACAACAACAACAACAAGGTGATGAAAGAATAAAAGATCCAAGTAAGATAAGAATTAATTCATGTATTGAACACTAACAACAATAATAATAATAACAACAACAACAATGTCGTTAAGGATGCAAGACACGCATGGAGGAAATAAGTATAAAAAAAAAAGGCAACAAATACCGAAAGACAAGCATGCAGTAACTAAAACACATATATTCTTTTTCTTATTTTTGATCTCTTTTTTTCTCTCCCCATTCTTTTTTTTGTTGTGTTTAAGTCATTCTGGATCTAACTGCAGCATCTACTGTCCATAGTGGTACTATCACTCCCTCCAAGTATATGTGTGTATATGTATATAAAACAAATATATTCCACACATGTTGGAGGTATATTTGTACTCCATTAGTAAAAGTTCCATTACAGTACCTCCAGATTACATATATATATATATATATATATATATATAAAGAAAGAAAGAAAGAAAGAAAGAAAGAGTATAAAACCCCAATACAATATCGTCTATTATTCCTGCAGTAATCTAAATCCCGTTGGCAGTGCGGTGGTCATATCGGTGCGTACTCTATACTCCCAATACGACATTGCCTGCGGTGATGGAAATCCTGGTGGGAATATCACCCGCAGGACATCCTCCAATACCGATTCCTTCAACAATCGATCCGAGACTGTTGTAGTCGATAAAGAAGGGGAGGCATTCACTTCAATTAAGTGTGGCCGCAGGGAACTATCAATCAATATATCATATCCATATAACTCAAAACAGTGTTTATCGTTAAACATCACCGGCGCCACAGCCCGCAGACTGTGTTGAATCACAAACTCAATACTACGCAAAAGTCCATCCGCACACGCCGCACCGTAGCGACCACGCAGGAATAAACACAAATTCGCCAAGGACCATTTCCCACCATGCGAATTATTATACGCCTCATCTCCCTTCTGCAGAGCGACATTTGTGAGATGGGCGTGAAGATTATCATCATCGAGGGCACTCGCTACATACCGCGTGGCACAGAAACGGGCAAATCCCTCCTCATGCAAATACGCCACTAGTGGTTTAAAGGAAGTGACGAGAACATATAATCGCAGATCAAACTTCTTTCCACCAATTAATAATGGATCTACCACGTATTTAGAGACAATAAAGCCTGATACTGGATTTCCCTCCAATTCATCTATTTCTTTCTTTTCCTTTAACCAACGCTTTAGTTGAGAGATACGATTGATGAGAAAAATACCGCGTCCTTGTGAGCGGGCTGTGGGCTTTACAATCCACGTACTCCCCGGCTGTCGTCTAAACTCCTCTACAAACATCTGCAGATCATTTGGAATATTATACGTTACCGGAACACACTCAGAGAAGCGCAGTGAAAATGGATTACACGGCAATGCGGAGGAACTCATTCCTCGTGTTATTGTGGTTGTATTGTTTGTCTCAATGAGTGGGAACTGCACAGATGATGGTGGAGGAGTGTGAGGTATACAGATATGAGCATTGGCGGGATCTCGAATGTACTTTTTAATATTCTTATACATAAGATCTTTACGTGTTAACTCATAGTGATTGGGAAAGTGATTAATAATCTGTGAGTCTGTAAGGCGGTATTCAGAGGTAGCAAAGATAGAACGAATTCTACCAACATTCATCCAAAAGAAATTCCAATCTCCTGCAATAACATCTTCATCTTCCACAATTTCAATACTATGTGGAAAACGTTGAAAGGCAAAATGAATAACATGCTTATCTAAATCTGTACGATACCGCAGCGGCGGTGTATCCCATCCATTACCATTACGACCACCCACAGATATCAACGGTGTTCTAATAGAGATATGGTTACTACCATTACTGTATTGTGCAGTTGTGATATCATGATGAGATGATGTGGTGGTATTGTTATTAGTGTTATGATTATGATTATGATTATGATTAGAAGCAGTGGTAGTGGTGTTGGTGACGGCTGTTGCGGCCGCGGTTAATGTTGATGTGATCGTTTTCTCTGAAACTGTGGGATTGGACTTCATGTTGTGTCCACGAGTATCTCCATTTCGTGGCTTTGCCGCATCACTCATGTAGCGAAAGGTCTTTGGTGGCATTTTGACCAACTAACTTTTCTTTTCTTTTGTTATGGTTTGCTTGTTTGTTTGCTTTTTCTTTTTTTTTTATTTGTTGTTGTCGTTGTTGTTATTAGTATTATTATTATTATTATTGCTGTTGTGGTTTTTTTTTTTTTTTTTTTTTTTT